TTTTTTTTTTTTGCACATCAGATGAAGGAACTGTTCTTAAACACAAGTTCCAAAGAGTTATCTATTTGTCCTAGAGAGGAGAGCATTTCACAGACATGTCACCCAGAGGTGACAGCTCTACTTTGTACTCTTTGTGGTAGCAGCAAGACCAGAATCAAAAGTATTATTTATCAGTGACAAAATTACCATCAATTTCAAAGGGAGCAAACTTGGAAATGTGCTCCCATTCCCTCTTAGTGTTACTGTTCTCTAATTTAATGAAGAAAACTCTATGTATTTCAGTATTTCTAACCACTTAGTCTAGGGACACAAGCACAAGTCATTCTGAGATAATAGCACTTGCCTCTCACCACTGATATTCAGGTCATCAGCTGTTTCATTCAATCTCACTGCTTGGCAAAACAAGTGTAGCCAGGATGTAGCTCACATAGGCAGAGTCCAGGTTCTGGCCAAGAAACAATCAGCTCAAGGTCCTTCATTTTCAAATGCACCACTTAAAGCACTGAATCCCCATTCTTAGGGCACTTGGCAAAGTTTCTTCCATGACCCAATGAACATCGGTGTCCCAGCCACTCAGCGACTCCTCTAACAGAGCTTCTATGGTGTGCATCAGAACTGAGTTTTACAAGAAAACCATAAGCAAAAAAGATAGTGGTTACCATTTCTGGCAAAAGACTGCCCTACCTTTTCTATATTTACCCTCTTTCTCCGTAATTTTCCCTAAATGAAGACATTTCTTCCATTTCAGGAGAATGCACATCAGTCGGGTTGCACAAGGAACTGCTACCGGTCGTCTGCCACAATGTAATTATAACTATGGGTCAAACAAACAATAAATAAAGAGAAAGAGATACAGGTTTTAAATATAGATTTCCATTAAAAGCATTACAAAGACAACTTCTCATTTTAAAGACAAAGAAAAAATCCACTTCTACTGCAAAAAAAGAAAAAAAAAAATCACCCCTTCGCAAGGAAATTTAATGAGGAAAGGTGCAAGGAAGGGAGAGAGGACATGGAAAGCTAGCAAATGTTCAAAGGGGCAGACGCCCACCATCCTGGGTGTTTTGCAATGGCACCTTCTTCTCCCAGAGTCAGGTCAGAGAGCCACAGAGTCCTCATGTGGAGGATTTCACCACCTGCTCATATGGAGGAGGTGGTGTGTTGCAGTAGGAAGGTGGAGGAGGGTAAACTGGGTTTCCTTGTGGGGAATTGGGCTGGACATGGAAAGCCATTGCCATGGGATTCATCACAGGTCCACCTGGGTCTGTGTAGTATGGCACTCCAGGTTGCTGTGACCCTGAAATAACAGGAGAGAAAAGGCATTAACAACAGCAGCAGCAGGTAGAAGTCACATTCTTCCAGGGCTGGAGAAAGTGTGCCTGTGCTTTTCACACTCAGAGAAGTCTTCTCCAAATGTTCATAGGAGTAAGGACAGGAAACTAAATTCCTCCCATCCCAACACAGGACTACCTCACTTACTGAGATTTCACCAAAACATTTCAGTTTTGCATGCCGTAGAAATAACTTAGTGAAACAAAGGGCACTAATGTCCCAACCAAACACCAGTTGAAACAAAGCCCTGCTCTGTTCTCCAGGCAGAAGAACTGTTGCAATACAGAAAGGAGAGACTTGAGATTCCAGATGGACTGCAGCTCCTGACTGAGGTGGAAAGTCTTCTCAGACAAAAAGGACATCACAGAGTGCTCTGTAGCATACTGTATTTTCCTGTACATCAGAATACATCTCAAACAGAACATTTCCCTTTAAGGAAGAATATGGCTACAGAGAAAACTGGACTGAATGAGTTCTTTGCCTCAGTCTTCACTGGCAGCCACGATTCCAGTATTTCTCACGTCCCTGAGCCCTGCATCCCTAAACCTCTAGGTGGGGACCAGGGTGGTAAATCCCCCCCCCCACTGTAAGGGCAGAGCAAGTCTGAGGTCTGAGACTCAATGTGTACAAGTCTATGGGGCCGGATGGCGTGCATCTCAGGGTTCTGAAGGACCTGGCTGAGGTGGTTGCCGAGCCGCTCTCCATCATATTTGAGAAGTCGTGGCTGTCTGGTGTGGTCCCAGATGACTGGAGGAACGGTCACGTCACTCCCATTTACAAGAAAGGGAGCAAGGAGGACCCCAGGAACTACAGGCCGGTGAGTCTCAACTCTGTGCCTGGGAAGATGATGGAACAGATCATCCTGGATGACATGCTTGATCACATGAGGAAAGGGCGTGTGATCCGTGACAGCCAGCACGGCTTCACCAGAGGAAGGTCATGCTTGACCAATCTGGTGGCCTTCTATGATGGAGTGACGGCATCGGTGGACAAGGGAAAGGCGACCGATGTCATTTACCTGGACTTGAGCAAGGCCTTTGACATGGTCCCCCACCACATCCTTCTCTCCAAACTGGAGGGATGTGGTTTTGATGGGCGGACCACTCGATGGATAAGAAACTGGTTGAAAGGCCGCAGACAGAGGGTGGTCATCAATGGCTCCATGTCCAGGTGGAGGCTGGTAACGAGCGGCGTCTCCCACGGATCTGTCTTGGGACCGGTGCTCTTTAACATCTTTATCAATGACATCGATGATGGAATCGAGTGCACCCTCAGCAAGTTTGCTGACGACACCAAGCTGAGTGGTGCGGTCAACATGGTTAAAGGAAGGGATGCCATTCAGAGGGACCTCGGCAGGCTGGAAAGGTGGGCCCAGGGAATCTAATGAGGTTCAACACAGCAAAGTGCAAAGTTTTGCACTTGGGACGGAGGAATCCCAGGCATTTATATAGACTGGAAGGAGCGATCCTCGAGAGCAGCCCTGCAGAGAAGGACCTGGCGGTCCTGGTGGATGAAAAACCTAACATGAACCAGCAGTGTGCTCTTGCAGCACAAAATGCAAATGGGATCCTGGGCTCCATCAGAAGAGGGGTGGCCAGCAGGGACAGGGAGGTGAATGTCTCCCTCTACTCTGCATTTGTGAAGCCCCATCTGGAGTGCTGTGTCCAGGTCTGGAGCCCCCAGTACAAGAAAGACAGGGAGCTGTTGGAGAGGGTCCACAGGAGAGCCACAGAGATGAACAGGGGACTGGAGCACCTCCCCTATGAAGACAGGCTGAGGGAGCTGGGCTTGTTCTGCCTGGAGAAAAGAAGGCTGCGAGGTGACCTCATTGCAGCATTTCAATACCTAAAGGGAGCCTACAAACAGGAGGGGAATCAACTCTTTGAAAGGGTAGGTAACAGCACGACAAGGGGAAATGGTTTTAAGTTGATGGATGGAAGATTTAGGTTGGATGTCAGGGGGAAGTTCTTCACAGAGAGAGTGGTGAGGTGCTGGAACAGCTGCCCAGACAGGCTGTGGATGCCCTGTCCCTAGAGGTGTTCAAGGCCAGGTTGGATGGGGCCCTGGGCAGCCTGGTCTAGTATTAAATGTGGATGTTCATGACCCTGCCTGTGGCAGGGGAGTTGGAGATTCATGATCCTTGAGGTCCCTTTTAACCCTGGCCATTCTGTAATTCTGTAAACATGTACAAAGCAAAAATCTAGGTTGAAGTCAATTATTGCTGGCTAACAAAGCGGGACAAGATTGTTCAGCACAGATTAAATGTACGAAATGACAGTGGAGCCTGCAGGGTCAAGGAACGGAAACATAAAATCAGGACAGAAATTTCCTTAATTATGACGTGAGGAGTAACAGAGAGTGCTGAGGAGGAACAAAACACACACCACAACAGGCGGTAGAAGGCCACTAAGCACTATTTCAGCAACTAAAGTCTCAGAGTCTCTGTATCTCAGTATGTTCATTATTTTCCTTTTCTTTCTTCTTGTATCTTTAAATAAGACAGGACTGAAAAAAAATTATGGCTGAGCAACAGGCTTTCTTGTTTTTGTGACAAAATCTTTCCTATAATGAAACAGCCTCTAAGGGATTTCCAAGTCAATCATTCATTTCCATCACTGACTCTAGGATCCAGTACTACCACAGAAGGAATTTAGACATCTCAAAGCTGTAGGCATCCTTCAGTACTTCAAGCATTCAAGAAGGACCTACGCACTGCACCCCTGCAGCCAAAAACACACCCTTACAAGATTAAGATCAGATGGACTGAATGATAACATAATTCACATGGATGAAAACAATCACAGAGCTATACGTATATGGCTCAGGAGTTTTGTTTGGACACACACGAGCAAAAAGGATGGAAAGCAGATCAGGAACAAGGCTATTTCCTTCTTAACAACAGCTTTTCTTCCTTTGCCATGGAAGTGAGAATCCTTTGTCCAGCTTCACTTGCACTAGCACACAGCTGCAGGAGAGCAGGGAGAAATGGGAAAGGAAAGGTAGCTCCCTGCACTCTGTTTTTAGAAAAACTGGCATTTTTGTTAAGCAGCACTTCCATTGCATTTCTGCACTCACAGCTGCTCCTCAGAATACATAAATTCAACAAGGAAGCCATGAACGCTATAAGCATTACTTCATAAACCCTTACAGTAGCAGCTCACAATAGAGAAATCTAGAAGTTGCAGAATTTAGGAAAGGCAGAACATAAAGCAAGGAACAGGAGGGAGACCAACTTTTCACATGGAAAAATAGTACAGGACAAGGGGGAATGTTTTTAAGTTAAAAGAAGGGAAATTTAAGCTTGATGTTAGAAGGAAGTGGTAAGGCAGAGGGTGGTAAGGCTCTGGGACAGGTTGCCCAGAGAAGCTGTGGATGCCCGATCCTTGAAGGTCTTCAAGGCCAGTTGGATCAGATCTTGGGCAACCTAATCTAGTGACTGACAACCCTGCCCACAGCAGAGGGGCTGGAAGTGGGTGTAAGGTCCCTTCCAATTCAAACCATTCTGTGATTCCATGAATGTGGAAAACACCCAGGATTGCTGAGAGACTGACAAAATTTCAGCTGAACAAGTAGAAGAAAAATTGGTAGGCTCAGCTCAGATGCCAAAGCTTTTAGAAACAGTAAGAAAAACTTAGTTTGGAAATAGATGGAGCATGCAGTTTACCAAATGACTTGTGCTTATTTTATACTTGCCCCCAAGTTGTGTTCCACAAGATGTTACGAAAAACTAAAATGATGTTCTGAAATTAAATCTGATTCACCAATCCAGCCAATGACACTCCTTGTTTACTTAATCTTGGAGCTATTTTTCAGGCTAAAGAATATCCTCTAGTTAGTTCGGCTCTCCCCAGCCCTCCACTGCTGACAAATACTCTCTGGAGTCATGTGTGGAATGAAAAAAAACAAAAGCTGAATGGATGCTGCAGGACCCTTAGGATTAAGGAAAAAAAAAAAAAAAAGAAACAACTTGGGATTATTTTTTTTTATAAAAGAGTGAGTGGAGTCTTAGTTTGTGTCTGTAACATTTTTATTCACTTAGACCTGTGACAGAGAGGGAGAAATGCATGTCCATGAGCACATGCTTAAGAACGCTCTCTTAAGAGCATTCCATAAACAGCATTCCAAAGTCTGTACTCTGCATGCAGGTGTCCAACTGCAAGCATGATGGAGCAGAGAGCCTGAATGCTCCAATCTCTGTACCACGCTTGTCATGGCTCACTGGAATGGTTTTAAGACAGTTTTCTGTAGAGGCTGTCTAGTATGGCATGGAGATGTAATGGTTTAGAAAACAATTCTTTAAAGAAAAGTATGAAGCACCAAATTTTCAGAGATCTCTCCTCTTCAAAGAAAAATATTGCCTTTTACTTACACTTCCAAGGTAGTGTAAAACTAAAACAAATTGCCAGTTCCAAAAACTTGTCAGAAAAGGTAGTTACCCTCTGGCTTCAGCACTCTTTAACCCATCTTGTGACAAAATGACAGCCCAGGAGGAGAAATGTCAGTATACCAACTTTGCCTGCCTATGTGTGTTTTCATAGACAAATGCTAGCAGAGGCTTGTGCCATCAGGAGCGTGGTTATAAACATCTCATTTTGGCCTTCCTGGGGTGGGGAAAAGACAAACACCCAATTGTCCACTCAGATATGATCCCAGTGCCTCATGCTCCCCCAAGGTGCCAACATCTTCTCCTTACAGGCGAGTCTTATTTTGCAGAATTCTCCCAAGTGGGACTCTCTAACAGCCTAAGTCTAAGAAATGAGAAACTTAGAAACAGTATTGCCAGAGAAGTCATCACTATGTGGATCCTCCTGATGCTCACAGACATGGTGGACCAGCAATCAGACTAACAAAGGATGAAGGGCAACTGTATCACAGAAAAAACAGTACAGAACATGGAAGACAAATGGAAGAACAATATTTGGCTTTTCTTCACCTCTGTCAAATTTCACCAATTGTATTTAATGATATTTAAAGCTCTTTTTATCAAATTCCTCACATGGAGGAGATATCACTGTTGATTTTGGGTATTTATCATTTCATCTACACTGCAAAGTGAGCATTTATTATCCTCCTTCCATTAACGGGGACACTGCTGTAAAGATTCTAGGAACCACAACAGAAGAGAACTTAAAGTCCTGCTATTCTGGGTCTCATACATACTGTTATGCACTGCTGCTGAACGGTATCATTTGGAAGGCAGAACTTCATTCATCACAGGAGGTGAATGAGTGGTTCAGTGCAGGGCAATTCCTATTCAAAACCCCCCAGTTCTCAAATACAAACACCCTCCCCCCAAAAAACATACTTTTTCAATACCTTGGCAGATGTAAGAAATTAGTGAAATTTGTTTAATGAACGTTTTCTGACCTGATGCAGTATTGACTGGTTGTCTGGTGTAAGACACATTAAAAGTAGGTTCTTCTACAAGTGGAGGAGGGTACATCCGTCTTCGAATAAAGAAACCTGCTCCACAACAGAACAAAACTCCCATCATCAAAAGGAACCTAGGCAAAGAGAAGAAGGAGGTCAAAACCCACCTGCATTCAGGGAGCTCTCAAACTGAGACTGTTCAACAACGGAGTACCATCTATCAGCCAACAATCTATGACTTTTATCAGGGTTTCTTAAATCACAAAATCATGGAATCATTTAGGTTGGATGAGTTGTCTATGTCATTTGAATAGCTATATCTTGAGTTACTTATGGACATACTGTGGACATTTCTTGTGATTTGTATTATTGTTCAATATTTTCTGGCTTATAAAACACAAATCTGAAACTGAAGTGCCCTTGAACTTTTGGAAAGTTCAGTCTCTTATCTGACTTATGCCACTGGATTGTGAAACTGAAATGCTAGGCCCATAGAGTTTCAAGCTGCATACCCTAGACCCAAGTCTAGCTCTTAGAGCATCTAGGTTAGTCAGTAGGTTTAGGGGGACTGGTTGTACAAAGAGGTATGCTAATTCTGCTCATAAGAATACTCTTAGATGTTAATAAGGCTAACTGAAACAGGCTGCCCAGGGATGTGGTGGAAGCCCTGTCCCTGGTGACATTCAAGGCCAGGCTGGAAGAGGCTCTGAGCAGCCTGATCAAGTTGTAGATGTCCCTGTTCGCTGCAGGGGAGTTGGATGAGATTACCTTTAAGAGTCCCTTCCAACTCTAAAGATTCTATGATTCTATGCTCTTAAATGAGGTGATTTTGACTCCCATGGGAAATATGGCAGCTGACATTTAAGCTCAAGCAGAAGCATTCAACAGTGAAAATGACAGAATCACAGAATCATCATATTTTGCTTTGCACTTCCTAGCCAAGATATGTATTTTTAAGGAAAGGCCATCATTTTGCTTCAGTTCTTGTCAGCTTCTTTTCCAACCTGACTAAAGCCTCCTAATGATTGCCGTGCTCAGATGCCCTGGCATATGCAGCAAGAGCACATCAGGAGATCTTCTTAGAAGTACTTTTGAACAGCAACTTTTTCTGAATCTGAGTACTTATCAGACAGTAGTGACTGACGCAAGCTCCAGTAAACCTAAGTGTTTTTTCTGACTTTAATGGCCACATCATTTCCTTTCTTTTCAAGGCCATATTCTGTGGCCTTGAAGCTAGGGAGGCTATGATAACTGTGCACTTTTGGAAGGGTTGGAGGCAAGAAAAGGATTTTATTATTCTTTTTCTCTCCTTAAGTTGGCCAGAGGCAAGCCTACACACCATGCTTATCTCCTCCAGTGCACTCCCAGGTGCCTGAGAGGAACCACAGCGCTGAACAACACTAAGACACATTTTATGACAGGATCAATTTTTTTCTTCTTTCTGCAGTGGACACAAGAGCAGAATGAGGTCCTATTTCCCTGAGCCAAAATTAATACATTTCTTTTTGGCAGTGTTCCTGCAAAGGATTTGTTCTGTACAGGAAAACAGATTTTATTATTTTTTTGTTATGCATATAAAATTTATTAGTTTAAGGTTTATCCAGATTACTGAGCTGCTGGTTTCGCAAGCTCAAACTTTTCTGCCTTCTTCTCCCTTGTCATCTCCAGGGACATTCTCATTTTAGCTGAAACCTCAATACAGAGAGCTGTCATGACATGTTCAAGACATGAAGCATGGAGACTGTCTTAAACCCCGTATGAATGTACAGCTCTCCTTATGCAATCTTCTTAAAAGATTTTTAAATTTAGTTCCCATCAAAAATGGACAAATGCTGCCATCCGATAGTAGCTGGGATGCGTGTAAGGATAAATGTGAGACCACTGCCTGTATAGACCAACATGACGCAGAAATGGGAAGAGCCAACCTGAAACAAGTATCCTCCTTTTCCAGTGTTTTCTCATTCCTCATCAGAGAAATACTTCTTTTTTACTGTTTAAGGTATTACAAAATCATGAGGATCTTATAACTGAAAAAAAGGAGTCCTTTCATTTCTGCGTACACATTACTGCATACTTGTATCTATTTTACTTCAAATCACTAGGGCTGGTGATACCCTGATTCTGGTCCTACAAGCAAGACAAGAACAGGACACTGGCAACATTACAATCTGGAATTTAGTTGCGGCCTACCAAAAATACCATAGTCGCTGGATAGAGAGGGCTCTTACACAGCATCTCGAACCACAGCAGTCCTCGTAGGAGCGACATCTGCACAGGAATAGAGAGAGAAGGTGGTTGTTGCTCACAATAGAATAAACAGCACCAGAGTAGGGAAGGGAATATAAATTCAAATAACATTTCCAGCAAATTCAGAGCCTAAACATGCACAGGAGTCTACAACACAGATGCTGCTAGCCCAGCCCCAGAGGCTTACAACTCTGCCCTGAGCCTGGGAGACAAAATCTGCAGCTTCCGTCTGCTGGCACAGAGCACAGCTGTGCTCTGCCTAAGGACAGGCACCACTGTCTATTGAAGGCTGTGAAGGAGCCAACATCTAGCCCCAGCCTGATCTACTCTGATGCACACAAACTGCACCCTGACAATGTCCCTGGAGCTGCCCCTGGTCTAGGAAGTTGCAGGAACAAGAAAGAATCAGATTCAGCTATCACTTTGCACTTAAACCTGTACCATGGTCTTTACACCTCTATTTTCATACACTCACTTGCTGAGTCTGTCAACCTGTGTCAGATCTCTGAGCTACCACTGGGAACAAGGTCAAACTGAACCGAGTGGAAGCAAACTACATTTGGCCAACTGGATAAAGGTTGTGATTCACATCCACACAACTATGGACACAATTCAGAAGCTTCCTACCTTATTGAAACTGCCTTTCCACATGTTTCTTTTAAAGCCAACTCAAAACAACTGAATTTAGCATTTAATTACATGTAACAGGACAAACTACAAGGACAAGTGCTGCAGACATCAAACATGAACCGTTTGGGGTTTTATTCACTGCAAAAAACAAGAGTTGCAAGGTAAAAACTGCCAGACCCCTCATTCTCCACAAAGGGGCAGCTTCCCAGCACAGAAAACACCAAGTGCAGAAAAACTCCAAGTGCACCATTACAGACAATTTTAAGGGCAATTTTTGCTTTCCAGAAGTTACAGCAAACAGCAACTGCCAGCAACCCCCATTACTTCAGTAGACTTTCCTACAACACTGCATTGGGAAATAGTATTTCATGGAGAATGGAACGGCTTTGAAAACATTGTAGCACCAATCTTATAGCAAACACAAGGTATAACTTCTTTCCAACAAAAGCCAGCACATGGGTTAACTGCAACCTCTGAACAATTTCTACAGAAAGTGCCATTTCTACAAGGAAACATGCTACATGTGCAGCAGTATAAAGGACAGAGGTAATGCAGAAACCACGTGACAGTCTTAGGTGAAAATATTCAGAGTTAGCAAATCACACACCAAAAGGAAAGAGGTGTGTACCACAACTAGATCAATCTTTATAACAAGTGTTATACTTCTGAATGTTTTGTATGTTAATTAAGCATCTGGCTTCAGATAAGTTGCTCAACTAGATAATTGTGCTTCCATATTTGTAAGCAAAGCTAAAAAAAAAACCAAAAACAACTGGCTAATTGTATGGCTAATTACATGTTTACATGCTCAATTAATGTGCCTCCACTCACAATATTCACCAAGTCACACAGGCTTCAGCCTGCAATGGGGGCAGGGGAAGATGCACTATGAACACACAATCATCATTTTGCAAGGGAAAGAAGTGTGCACTCTTCCAGTGACAAGCAGACAGGATTTCTTGTAATAAGCCCAAGGATCTGATACTCTGATCGGCCTGCCAAGTCTGCTTGTGTACTCAGACGCACCGTTTGGGATGTGAGCCAACTAGCTGCCAAAGCCAGAAGAGAAAATACCCACTTTGCTGAGCCTGAACACTCTCCAGTCTCCAACATCTCTTCTTTAAAGCTTGCCTTGATTCTAACAGCGGCTGAAATATCACAGAACTACCAGCAAGACTTAGCAAGTCAGCATTAACTTTGGGTCTTATCAGAACCAAGAAATTAAGCACTGTTCCACACTTCCTCCCAATGGATCAACCCAAAAGGAGCTTTCAAAACCAGTCATAAATACATTAACAGGACCAGGCTGCTTACCAAATTGCCATGCTGATGCAGCATATGTCAGAAAAACAGAGAGGAAATAAGAGGCTGTAAATCCAGCAGAAATAGTGGACCAAGTGTGCTAGTAAATAAAAACACTTCTGACCAATTCTTGTTGCTATGCATTTTAGAAGAGCAATTCATATTTAGATTTGTGAGAGACAGGGAGCGAGTTTCTCTGCATCGCTAAGGGAGTACCTTCTTGCAACCTTCCTTGAGTCAACTGAGGCCAGAAAACAGAAGGATCTGGGTGTGAGTATTCTGTAGCTGTGCCTCCATGTGCAGAGTGCATGCAACTGGGACAGGGAGCAAGTGGATGCTGCACTGTACAACTTGAAAGCCCCAGTATAATTTTGCAGATCAAGCCTCAGGAACCTGGCTTTATTAGTCTCCAACTAAAATCCAGAGTCTCCCAAGACTACACACATTCCTCCCTGATCCTTATCTTGCTTATTTTGCATCTGTTTTCTCTAGAGCAAGAAGGGATGAGAAAAGGCTATTTTAAAATCTGTAATTATGGTCATTCCAATAAACAAAATTAAAAAAAAAAAAAAAAAAAAAAAAAAAAAAAAAAGCATCTGTATGATTCAATGTAGCACCTGAATTTACTTTTTTTTTTTTTTTTTAAACTCTAAGGTTCTTAGGTTACAAGTCAGCACCATTTTTAAAGTCTTGGTGCCTTAATTTTTCTTCCTGCAAAAGAAAAGTACCAGCTAGAAGACATAAAGTCTCAACTGCTGAATGTTTATGAAGCTCCTAAGACCACTGAATGGCAAACAAGCAGACCATCAAGAAGTTCTGTCATCTACGAAGATGACTGCACTTTCAAATGGCTGAAAATGAGATAGAAGAATTGAAATTGACCAATCTCTCCCTGCAGCTATGTTTAGAGAAACTCCATCTTACTATAGCCAATAAGCTTTGCATGGTGACTGAGCCAAGTCTGAAAACTGCACCTCCTGAGTTCATCTCTGAAGTTAAACCATCATCATGACTCAAGGGAAGCCCCTTTGAAGTCTGACACAAGTAAAACTAAAACTTTTTACCTATAAAATCAAACAAGTGCTTGATTTTTTGTGCCTTAGGTAAGAAAACATGTATGTAGGAGTCTGGAATCAATTGTGATACCACGATCCCAGTGTGCTGGCTGTAGTATTTGCCACTACTTGAGAGCAGCTGCCCAAGCAGACTGAAGAACAAATGGCCATTTGCTGGTAACTGCTGTTCTGGTACTGCTTGAGAGCTCTGCTTCTCTTCTGTTCTTGATTCAATGTGCTATGAAAAAAACAACACAGACTCTACCAACACTGATCCTAAATTACAACAAAATTAACTTATTTATAAAAGACATTATTATTTGCAGGCAAAAGAAGACAATAAAATCAGCTTATTAATAGAGCAACGTACATGCTTAAGCATGATCAATCTTTTGATGTTCTATCTCTTGCTGCCAGACAGCAAATCCAGAGGAATTAAGACCCTAGCTCAGGAAAAGACAATGAAGCAGGCACAACTATATTTATTGAATTGATAGTCATATTCTTTAAATTATTATCTTTGTGCTTTAGCTCTTCCTAACGGAGACGAGCTGGTTGTGCACAGTGCTGGTGTGTCTTCCACCCAGCAATCTCAACAGCACCCTACTCAGCCCCCTGGAACATCTGTCTGCCACACATATGGAATTAAAACTTCTGGGCAGTCTTACCACACCCCCCCCCCCCCCCCCCCCAACAACTCCCGACCCACAAAAATATAAAACAACTTCTGCCGGCTTTTCCCCCCCCCCCCCCCCCCCCCAAAAAAAAAAAAAAAAAAAAAAGAGCTGCTCGACAGATGTGTATTTTGGGTTTTGTCTTTCCTAAACTGGACATGCAAGTTACAATAGAACTGTTCCTGAAAAAGGAGCTTTAGAATCAATTTGAACTGGCCTGTGCTCATCTCCTACGCTAAAGCCAGTTTCCTTCTTTCACACATAAACGATGATCATGAGATCTTCCTTTCCCTAGGGAAGTGCTTGTCTCATTGATCAACATTTAATCCATTATGCAGGATGAGGCATGATCCACTAGTTGCTTTGCTAACCTGAAACTTGGAAAGCATACGTTGTCTCTTTTTAAAATGGCCTTCCCAGTGATTTATGATTTAGAAGGTACATTTTTTCATTCATAATTCAGTGGAGTGAAATTAATGCATTTCCATGTCTAATTACTGGTATTGCCAGCACATCAAAGAACTGCTATGTCAGGAATCAAAGTTACATTCCTAGATCACAACAACAGTCTTTTTGTATGGATTTGCACTTAAACCACAAAGCCAAATGCTTTTCTTAATGGACACACAAAGCATGAATTTTCATGTGAAGGTATGACCCAAGCACCTAAAGAAAGCCCTGGACTTACATGTGTTCTTCAGATAACAACCACTCAGTGAAATGCTCCAGAATTTCTTTTCAATTTATACCCGTTCCTACAGCGATGAACAAGTTCCTTCCCAGCAGCTGCTGCAGGAAAGAAGTGCATCTAAAAACAATTCCCTGATTGGCACTTGCTGAAAACTAGAGAAGTTAAAAAGGTAAAAAAGGATTACAGTCTGCACTGGTCTGACAGCGTATTCCCCATAAAAATAATTCCTTTGAAATGCAGGCTGTAATATTCTTAGTTTTCCTCTCTAGACTGTTGGTGTCATATGTGCCAAAATCTGATTTAACACTGAAATGTTTGACCAGCAATGTCTTTTGGAAGAGTAAAACAAAACACAAATCATTAATCTACATGTAGGGGCAGAAAGCTGGCTCAGAATGCAGGGACAGAGGAAGTGAGCAGGAAAGAAAATCACAGAACAATCAAAAGTCCTTTAGATACAGTAAATTGTATGGTTTCTAACTAGTGTCCTATACACAAGCCTGGCTGTAATTCCAAAGAAGGCTGTATGCCAGTGATAAGTTAAATGATTGCTGCTTCATTTACAACCCCTTGCTGGAACCAAGAATTAAGTTTACGCAAAGGATTGTGTAGCAATAGACTGAAACGAAGAAGTGAAAGATCTGGGGGAAATGGCTAGTAGCATCAGAT